AAGATATAGGTATTCTTACGACTATTCTCATACTACAAATATTAAGTTTAATAATATGGGTTTCTATTCCATTTCTAAAAATGAGTTTCTAATTAAAAAAATATATAATCGAATTAAAAAAGAAGGTTAGCTAGATAATCCTTTAATTTTATTACAAAGAAAGCAGAAATTATCTTGTGCGGGGTCAACCTCTTTGATTTTTTAATTACACCTAATATCGGTTAAATTTAGCAGGTACGATATCTATTTATGTTTACATGATGTTTTGTTCAAATTGATCCAACCGTGGTCACCAGATGTAGTTGAGTAATTTAAATCGTAATGTTTTTAACATTTAAATTAAATTGAATACCTTTTATAAGTAATTTTAATAGTAATCTATCTCGGGTTGTATGTCTAAATCTTGGATGGATATGGTTGCTGATGATGTTATATCAACTATTAAAAAATATTAGATAGGTTGTTATCTGGTTCTTTGTTAGATAAAAAGATAATATTGACACAAACAGTATATCTAGTTACAGTTTTGACGTATATTTTGCACGTACCCACATAAAACTTCAGTACAGTTCAGATATATGAAATTTGGTGAGAAGTAAGATCTGAGAATACAAATAAAACTAAAAACTCGATAGTGCTTGAAAATTTGACTATAGCGTAAATATTGGTTGTGGTATAAAGCGTTTTTAGTAGGGCAAAGTTAAGTTTGTCTCTCAATCTTATCTACATACAGTTAGACTTGCATTTAACTAAGTATAAGATACACAATATAAATTTATTTATTATATTTCATCATCATTATCGCTTGGTTCAACGCGCCTCAGGAAATGCTGGTTCGAATTGAAAGAATATTATATTATAAGCAGGCCATAGACTATATATCATTTCGCTACGACCTATAGAAGCTTATATTTTTTATAGACAACTCCCGCAATAAGAATATATTCTGTGTTGCGGGGGACTTTACAAACATTCATTCAATTTACACATAGAACACTAAGACTCAGAACAACAATTTGTAGACCACACAAAGTATTGTCCCATGTGGGGATCGAACCCATAACACTCAGCGCAGTAGGAAGCGGCGAAGCGACCACTTAAAACCACTACGCCATCCAAAACAGAGAATTCCTTTTAAGAGACCAGCTAGTTATTATTTAGGGTACTTAACAAGATTGGTTACACTATATTACAAATTGATAGCCAAAGGAATGTTCCACTAGATATTTTCTTTTCAAAAATCAGAGGTCTCAGAACTTATCTTTATTTGTAAGATAAACCTACTGCTGCTAGTAACCTACCTAGATCTGATATTATAATGCAATTTTATGCAATTGATGTTATTAACTTTTATGTTGCTGAAATTACTAACTCAATTGTCACATATTTCTAGATGGAAAATTCATACGAATATATAATATTGCATAATACCTTCAGGTAGCTAACTTGGTAAGTTTTAGTTAGTACCTATAAACGGTTTAACACTAAGCTCCAACTTAGACTCAGCAGTAAAATGGTCAAGCACATTTAAAATTTTAATTAAATAAAAAATAAAAATAGAGCTCAAAAACGTATTCAAGTAGGTAGTATAATCTAGTCCACCGGGTAAGTATCGTCCGATTTTCAGCTCTGTTTATAGGGCATAAAGTATATTTATATTTTAAAACTACCAAAACATCAGCATATAAGAACAGCGTTACGCTGGTTTTTTATCACACTTTTTTGTAGGTTATCAGGAAGTTGTGAATGCATCCTTATTCCTACAAAATAGATCGGGGTTCCAATTTGAGAGGAAATAAACTAGGCTCGACTCTCTTGAGCTGAGATAAACATGTATATAACAAAATTAAATTAAAAATTTAAATAACCCCCGACGCACATATTTGATTTTAATTTGTCATAGTGTATAGTATTCTACTAGTCAAGCGTTTTCATTTGATACACATATTGAGCATCTGCTATTTGTAGCCATCTTGGACCGATTTTCATAAAACATAGCTAAAAATACTCCCGACTCATCCACCTTCCAATCAAAAAAACAAAATCAAAATCGGTTCATCGGTTCGGGAGCTACGATGTCACAGACAGACACACACACACACACAGATACGTCAAACTTATAACACCCCGTCGTTTTTTCGTCGGAGGTTAAAAATAACCATTAAACATAAAGTTAACACCAACGAGAAAAATGCAATTAGCTATCATAAAATCTAAAAACCAAGCTTTAATATACTAGCACTTATAGCATTATATGAGAATAAATAACGGTTAAAAAGCGCAGGGTGCTTTAATTTAGTACAAATAAAAACGTACCTTATGGTTGGGTTTATTTTAATTTTTATTTAATTATAGGATGATTTATGTAGCGTGGTACTTAAATGCGCGACTGTAACAGTGCAAATGTTAAGGAATTTCATTGACAGATTCATTGATTGACTAATTACAATTGATTCCAAATTCAAGAGTTATATGATCTAAAAGTTTTTAATAATTTTGAATACGACTCGCTCTGGGTCAAATTACCAGACATGGTTTTTATCTATGTCGTTAGTTATTACTTATTACTGAATGATTCATTTTACTGAGTCTATGTTACCAATTACGTTAATTATAAAATGCCTCTCTCCTAAAGATTCAAAACCTTTAATATCCTCAAAGCTCTTATTCCAAGCTATTTAATCTTTATCTATCTTAAAATGTCTTTTTCCTATCTGTCACTGTTGCTCCGTCGTTTCACAATTTGTATTAAAATAGGATGTGACATTATTACTTACGACGGAAGAGCTCCGGATACGAGAATGTCGGCCGTACTTGTTTGTGGACTCGTAATATTCGAACTTCGAATGTAGGATGAAAAGGGTTCGATACATATGCCGCGTTTCGTAACCGTCTTGAATATTGGGTAACTTATATGGGGGGTATTCTTGGAATGTTTTATTAGCATGTTATTGTTTTATTTAAGAAGAATTTCTGATTTATATATTGAGGATAGTTACGGTTCAGTAAGCTAGAAGGCTTGGAATTTCCGCCTCTGACTATTGCGGCCAGTTGCAGACATAGTCATGCGACTTTGACGTTGTTGAGCTATAAGCTCCACAATCTATTCATTTAAGCTATGTAGTTTACATTCCATTCCCTTCCCATCTTACCTACAATTTGTTTAAATTAGCCCATATTTCATTTTGAGGCGCTAGTGACCAAAATAGGCATGCACCATTTTAAGTGATTAAAAATTAGATGCCAAATCGAAGATGCTTTTCACCAAACGATTAAACCTGCGACTATTCGAATTCACTACCGCTACGTAGGCCGTCAATCTTTTGTATAAATATTTATATCTTAATAGTCACCGACTAAGGCGCTAAACTGGGTCGTGTTGTTTATAAAATAATTTCACACTCAACTAAATTATTATTCATTATGTTCTGGTACGACGAAGACTAGGTTTTATTAGTAAACATAATTACCGTTTGTAAATGCGTAACATTACGTGCTCATTGAAGTTTTATATTTTAAACGGTCATAATGAATTTATGAACTTAAAACTGTATTCAAGTTTGAACTTGTGACCTATAATATTTTTTTTACTTCGGAAAACAAAGATCCAAAAAGTGTTAGTATTGCATCAAATTATTAGTTATTATCTAGTGATAGTACAAATCACCCTCTGCACAAAGTGTTTTATAATCGAAGTAATAAATAATAAATCGAAGTATACGATACGATAGACGTTCTCCTGTTGCAATGAAAAAGGAATACAGTATTAGTATTCTACGAATTTTATCCTTCTTAATTTATTTTCTGTTTTAATAGCTTATTAGGATGATTTTATAAAAATGTTGTTCAAATTTGGTCAAAGCTGTTTCAGTTTTTAAAGTATGCGTTTACCAAAGATCAGCATTTTATTTTGCTATGCCTAGTTCTGTTATATTTTCAGGAACTTTCGAATATTTTAATATTCAAGTGATACTTTTTATCTTGTAAGCACCCACGAAGAAAAGCTTTTTGGAAATTTCACTGCTAAGTAAAATAAGGGTTAAACGGTTGTATGGGTCATTAGTTTCAAAGTTAGAACACGAAATAAAAAAAATATCACGCGAGCGACTTTGCTGGTAATAGCTTTTCAATTGATATTTTTTTATTTTTATAAAACAGGTACAAAAACAGGCAACAGGTTATGTAACACAAATAATATCATTTTAACATACATATTATGAATCTGAAATCTTATTATATCTGTACAGATCATTTAAAAGTTAACAACTATCTAGAGATGAAGACAAATACACAAACAAATGGAGATTAGAAACAATGAATACAATACGATATAAAACGAACTAAACGCTGAAGTTAAATTATCAAATATGGCTTTTTTTAGGTTAATGAATTTATCATTAAAAATATCCAATCAAGAACAAATATCGTTATACTGCCTACACATTCTTTTAAGTGGGCTATTGTCAGAGATATTATTGTTACTTGAACCCTCAAGTAGAAGTAGAACAGTGGAGAATTGTGGAATGCGCACAGGTCGCGTAGGTATCTTAAAATGTATCTGTGTGATGACGTCACAGTCCAGAGAACCATTACCAATTTTGAAAGAGAAGATATTGTATAAGACTATTTGATATTGTTGCTCTCATTATCTGAACGTTTATGGTAATTTATTATATTAAGCTGTTTAAAGGATTTGTGCCATCCCACTTCAACGTACTATGGTCCTGATATTATGGTAATTTGTTAATTTTCATCGTTAAAGCCTGTGTTTGCATTGACAAGTTTCTATGACATCGATACGATTTTCGTGTTATCCGGTTGCAGTTAAATTTTAATTCAATGTTTTAGACATGAAAGATCGATTTTAACAGGGAAGTAATTTAGAGTTTCGAGATAAATTTGAACAAAAGTTACTTATTAGATCTCTCTTTGGAGTTGTGCACGTTGTATATAACTTTTCTGCTGAAGTTTTAAGTGCAAGCCATAATAATTGCAAGAACATGGCAACATATAAAAAAAAACCTGTCGGGGTTCCCACGTAATATATTTTTAATATTATACATAAATTATACCCAGACACAGAACAAATGATCGTGCTAATCACACAATATTTGTCCTGGGTGGGAATCGAACCCCCCTTCTGGTTTAGCAGTTAGGGTCACAAACCACTAGACCAACAGGCCCGTCGTTATCATCTTTAGTATGCATTTCATTAGACCACTCACTGTGAAAATACGTTCTTAACTTTAACGCTAGTAGATTAAGTTCGAGGATATGTAACAAGCAAGAGGCTTTCCTCGCCTAAAACTATTTTTTCTAATCCGTTCGTATAAATTTTAATAAAAGATCAGGAGAAAATTGTTTTTTCATAAATATTCTAAGGAGGCTTCTGATTAATACAATCCATATACAACATTATATTTTAAATCAGAAGTCTCATACATAACCTATATGAATAAAACTTTGTGTAATTTTTCAAAACTATTGATTAAGAATATTAGGATTATAAAGAAACGAACGTTAAAACTTAAATATAATAAATTTTTAATACCTGACGTTGTTATAACAAAGTACTAACGTATAACATTTTCTGTGTGCGCAGGAGAATGGGCGCGCGGCACCGGACCTGACGGCGTCACCGGGCCGCGCGCCTCCCGGCCCTCCTCAGCCGCCGCGTGCCAACCACGCACCTCCCTGCGTGCTGCAGCCAGACTTCCGAAAGGTAAGTTCAGCTATCACCTCGCCATCAGAGTATTGAGAGTTCCTTTGTTATATATAAATGTATGTTATTTAGTCTGTTTCTACTTTGTGGTCGTTAATTATTCTTTAGTGCTAACAGCTAAAACAACAGAATATGTTTCATTGTTAAATGTTAATTGTTAACCTCCTTTCTAAGGAGAGTCCTATGTCTAGCAGTATACTATTAAAGGTTGTTGATGTGATGACGTGTATTAAGATACTTGAACTTAAGGCTTTGATTCAATATCATCATCATCTTAGCCGAAAAACGTCCACTGTTGGACATACTCGTAGGCTTCCCTCAAGGTTTGCGATAACAACCGGTCTTGTGCTATCCGCATCTAACTAAAATGGCTATGGCTTTAATAACTATGGCAAAAGTAGATTACTGGAAGTATATAGAAAGAGTCCAGACACTATTAGGATATAATAACATTAAATGTATAGTAATGTTAACCGGATAGTTAGAATTAGTTAAGTTCAGATTTGTAGAACTTCAAAATACCTCTATAATTTTTTGTGTTGTCTCTCGTTTTACTTAGACACTTTGATCCAAATAATTATAGGTTCAATACATAAAGCACTATTAAAAGTTAGTTATTGAGAATATTATTAATTTATACATAATAATATTTCTATTCAGGTATCAGGAGTGAGTAATGAAATATTCAGGCAGATTGAAATGGTTGAAAATGATCACGATACGACCACCGCCGCGGCGCTCGAGGTGAGGATTGGTTTATTAGACTCGTATTTCAGTAAAAAACATTGTTTTTTCGATACTAGATTGCATAGTTTAAGTTTTATGATTACCTTTAACGCACACGCATACGTTAACGTCTACTAAAATTTATAATGGAATTGCGGAATATGCGTCCTATTTTGTTTTTTATTCAACTAAGTTTACCAGTAACGAAGCTTATATTGTTGATTAGCAGGTTTTAACTGGTAGGATATTTAATTAATAATAATAAATATATTTTCACACATCTTGCAAACGGCTGTATGATCCCAAAAAAGGCAGAACCTGTACTATGGTTAATATATACATATTAAATTAACTGTGTACATTTTTTATATTTGGAATGAAGTACTTGTCCATTTTGGTTTAAAACACTTGCTGAAACGAGCTCTTTTATTGAACGAATATATGCAGTGGTAACTGCTTGTACAATAAAACAATCTTTTATCAATCAAACCTAACTTGTACGTAAAGTTTTAATAATTCAAAGAATAAAAATGAGTAAATATTAATAAATTAAACTTCATTTTTAAATATAATATTTAAATACTGTAGTTTAAATTCTCTCTTAGTCGATCACTACCTAAATATTTTATGGATGCAATATCCACATCCGACAATTGTATGTATAGAAAATAGTTATTAATTGTGTATATATAAAGGTCTCAGGAATACAGGAAAAATAAATATATAAAAATCTGCAGATTATTTGAAGCGTGGAGCGCGTTTGGCGAAGCGAAGAAACAAAATAACTACACTGTATGTGTGTGTGTTTATGTGTGGTTACATGTGTAACGCTGTGAAATTCCGCGGGAAAATGTCCAAGAATTTCATCCGGCTGATAAAGTTTTTTTTTCTTTCTCATAAGTTTGCGAAGCGTATCAAATTTGTTTGGTTATATTCCAGGCGGTTGAGCGTCGCGGCGAGATGATCGTAAGGATACTTGAAGTGAGACAAGTGGGCCGCAACAATATTGAAGCCGCCAAAAAATTCTTCGCATTACAGGTAATATACAGTTTGTGTTGGAGGTAAAGATTCAGTCAACTGTATAGATTATCTTTTCGATTGGAATTCGATATCTTCCGGTCTGCCGTTTCTATAAAACTTGATTACATCAGATTGCTGGTAAAATACAAATGCTTGTATGTATAGCACGTTCGTTAGTAGAGCAAATGATTGGAGACTCAGTATTACATACATATAAATAAAATTCTGATGAAAAATGTGTCAAACCATTTCACATATTTAAGTAAGAGAAAATAAGTGAAGTTTTTTGAAATGTCATTCGTATGTACAAAGTATCTGCGTAATACTTCGGCTTCCAGTATGAATATTTTACTCACACCATGACAAACCAATACAGGTGTAATGGATGTTTCATGTATTTATTTTAACTGTTTTAATTTTTTAAATAAATAAATAACAAATATACTTGCTATCTCAGAGTAGACTTACGCTATTATCTACGTCTACTTGGAGATAGCAAATGAGGACATGAATGCACTCCGCTAAGCGTGTCCCACATCCTAACATTCTAAATTATTACTCAAACTGAATATATATCTTCATAGAATACTCGTGATCGTAAAATATAAAAGAAGTCTAGAACTAAACTAATCAAAAACTTTTTCGATATCAATATTCCCCTTTCAAAAGTGCAATGCACTTTCAAGATATTTAAAATGGGCGATCGGTACTGCGTTCTGATTTCAAAGACGGTCTTCTCAGGTAATTTTCTCGCTCCATTGACCCGAATAGGCTGCTTGCAACCAAGTATGGGACCCAGTATGAAAGAACGCTACTTCGCTGTGCTGCTATTGTTCAAGCGCGGCTGGCCTACATCGCATGGAATGTGAACGCAATTTAGACTAGCATTGTTAGGATGTACAGTACGGTTCATACTACTGTACTGTAATAGTGCGGGTTATTCAATTTGCGGTTTCATCGAATTGCAAGCGGTTGTGCTTGGTATAATACTGCACTATTGTTGTGATTGTAAAGCCTCAAATTGGGTTACGAACGACACTTGAAAATGGTGTAGGTAAATATGGAATATATTGAACTAAGTCACTAATTGTACTGTTGCAGAATATTTATTTTATTAAACCTAAGCCGTTTCGCCTCTCGGCAATTTTTAGGGTATTATGACAACTACTAACTTTAGATTATTTAAAATGTTTTGCAAATTTGGTCAGGTTTAATAAAATAAATATTGTGCAACAATACATGTAACTTAATTTAATATGTATAGCAAGTTTCAACAAGTGACATCAATCAACAGTATAGATAGTCTAAAAAAATCAATATTTTCATATTATAAATGTGAAAGTGAGTTTTTTTATTTGTACGCTTTTATGCATAAACTACTAAACCGATTAAAAAATATATTTCACTAATGGAAAGCTACATTATCTGCAAGTAATATAGACAATTTTTTTACCACGATATCATATAATGTCTTACTCAGTAAGGTAAACAGAGAAGGTAACATATTTGTAGTATCACTTTTTGCTTGAAAAATTAACGTTACAAATTTTGTGAATCTTAAATATACATCAATCAATCAGCCTTTTGCAGTCAACTGCTGAACACAGGCTACTCCCAATGTGCGCCATAGCCCTTCTGACTTCAAGCTACTTCAAAAGTGGTGTGTTTTAAATGCTTACCAATTTCCTTTGAAATTGCACAAATATAATTGCAAAAGCTGTCAAAAATTTCAAGGGTATCTTGTGTTTTTAAATATCTAAATTTTTTAAATTATTATAACTTTTATATTTTTTTGTGTTACTGTTGTTTCGTATTAGAAGTAATCTATTCGTATTGGAAAACTAAAAATTATCGCATAAAAAGGTATTTCAGGAGGAATATGGTAGAAGTAAGTATGTATACCAGCGCTTATTTCCTATACTTTTATTACAGGATTCGCGCCACATAGTTCAACTAGTGGAAATTGTAAAACGTCCAGGTCAAACACTAGGCCTGTACATCAGGGAAGGAGATGGAGGTACGAGGACGGATGGAGTTTTCATATCTCGAATAGCACTCGAGTCAGCAGTGTATAACAGCGGGTGTTTGAAAGTCGGAGACGAGATTTTGGCTGTGAACTTGGTTGATGTCAGACGAATGTCACTCGATGACGTCGTAATTATCATGTCAATACCGAGGAGATTGCTGCTGTGTACAAGGCAAAGGAAAGGTCAGTTAATATTAAAGGAAATTAAATATTAAATACACGTAGTTCAGATCGATGAAACGAACCAACTGGTTAATGTTTAAGTAACTTCTTCATAAAGATTAGAACTGGCTTAAACGGATCTAGATTAGATTAAGGTATACAGTACAGAAATATATACATCCATGTCCTTTAATAACCTTGTTTTATTTTAGAAACAAAAATATTAACTAACACATAAAAAATTTTGACTCATCAATGTTAAGATTTATTATAGTTGTGGTTTTAGTTGATATATTCACAGCTACTCGATTACCTTTAGAACGTAAAATCACCCCTTATTCTGTTCTGTTCTTAAAGAGATTCTTTGATGGTAAGGTGAAAATGCCGTTTAATTTGGTGGAATCTTAATACGAAATTCAGTCACTAAAATTCTTAGCGTAGATAAGACATATACAAAAAAAAAACACTTAATTGACATAATTGATTTTCCTAAGAAGTAAATAAACAATCCAATGTACAGTGAAATTAGTCTCGAGAAATTTTTGCATATGTAGTGGTGTGTATATTACTCAGATCTTAGAGCGCGTTTCCACTATATCGTTCTGGCCTATACAAAAATGTTTTGATATCCTAACATTACTATTTAATTTTATACTTATCCCTAGCAACACTCTGATTTTTGTTTTCAATAAAAACAAGTTTTTATTTTCAAGAAAAAGGTTTTGACTTTATAAAAAAAAGGTGTGTGTGCGATTCACACACGATAGAAGTGAAACTTCAAAGAGGAGAGACCGATATTTACATATTTTTTTTCCTTTCATCTAGGTTTTTAAAACTCCGGGGGGTCTACGGGGGGGTCAAAATTTTTGTTATTTTTGGCCTAGGACGCACCGTTTCCGAGATATTTCAATCTAAAGCAAAAAATCGTCATTTGATAGTGGAAAGTGGAAACACGCACAAAACCAGAATAAACCATTACACTACTACAAACGCAAAAATTTCTCCAAGCTAATTTACCTGTAGCATACTTTTACGACTGCTACATTCAATTATATTATTCAACAGCCCGGAAAGGATCGAGAGATATTTAAAAAAAATGCAATATTAAATATATTCGACAGGGAAATCGGGGCCAGGATCACCATCTCTACCACGATCGGAGCACAAACCGCCACCGGTCGTCGTTTTGAAGAGGGACTGTCGCGATGATGATGACAGGGATCGAGATCGAGTTGATGGACTTTATTCCCAGTAAGAATCAATAAAGTATACAAAGCTTTTTACTAAATATACACGATTTTGTTGACTTATATTTCTATGTGTGAATTTCTAGACGATCCGAGAAAGGTAAAACCTGTTAGGTCTGAAAGTAGCCGAAGATCCTTGAAATACACACGACAGTAATATTAGGCACGGATGTTCTTGAACGGGATCGAGAGAGGGCCGATCCGGAGCGAAGAAGACGTAGGCGGCGGAATGAGCCGCTGACGGGACCGCGAGCCGCATCCTATCCCTTACCGCAGCAGCAGTTAATCTGCTACCTCTGGTAGATTAACTGCTGCGGTAGGGGATAGGATGGCGGCCCGATCGCACCAAAAATGTGATCGAGCCGCAACATTTAGTGATAGGCTAATAAGCAATGGAAAGCCTCTGGCTTCTCCTGGGATTGGGCCTAGTTAGGTGCGGCGTCGATCTGGGAGGGCCCTGAAATCAAATGGTCCTGGTCCTCCCTAGAGTAGGTTGCCGTAAAAAAAGGCACAGATGTTCTATTCCAATATTAAAATCTATAGATTAGACAATATTATGCATTTTATGTCCAATTGTGTTAAACGCACCATTCGTATGATTGGGTACAGACATGGAACTCTACGATCAGCGGGCCCCGGAGGAGGCATTCGACCTGTTGGAGATGGCAGAGAAGAAAGAAGTCGACTACAACTTGGAACCTTGTCCCCTGATTCAACTGCTCTTGATCTGTACTATAATCCAAGACCACCGTCAGATCATTCAACTTGGAGGTGGAGCTAAAAACAAATATTATTATAAATTTGATGGAAGTATAAATGTTTGAATGGAGAAGTGTGAACTAAAAATTCCCTTTTCTTTTGACAGCTACCATCCACCTCCGCCAGTGATAACAGAACAACCGAAATCGCAAGCTACGCATTTCGTTCCATACGAAAGATCTTATCCAAATACACTGGACAGCTTAGCGGAAAAAGTACACTCTTTCTATCCAGCTGATAGTGGAAGGTATAAACTGAACTTATTTCAAATTGTCAGTCAAAAACGAATGATTGGATTTTAAAATATATTAATTTTTAGCACACGATTCGGTGGTCGAGTACCTCGGTCAGGATCAGAGCAGCAGTTACCGCGAGCAGAAACTCATTCTGACTTTGGTAGACATTCTTTGCTCAGATCAAGTTTGAAAGCTTCTGCTGCGACAGGAGGTAAGTACCATTTACGTGTTCTTCTGTGTTTACTGATGAGTCATATATTACATAACTATTTTTTTTTTGTTTCCAGCCACCAGCTTAAGATACAATCAACGTTACGGTGGCGTGGGTATGCCAGGTTCTGGACTCGGTGGCACTGGACTAACAGATACAAACTTGACAGGGACTACTTTAGGGCCAGGATTACCCAGTGGTTTTTCAACAACGGGACTCAGTGGGCTTACTGGTTCAAGTTTAGTTGGTTCTGGGCTAACGAGTTCTGGTTTGTCATCTGGATTAACTAGTACGGGATTGGGATCTGCACTTGGTGGCACATATGGAACTACAGGATTAGGTTTACCTTCGTACAGTAGTAAATTTGGAACGGCAAGGCGAAATAGGAGTTTGGACTATTCATCAGATACAGAAGCTACGGCACCGACAAGAACTCCGTATTACTCAGGAGTAACCGGTTATCGAAGTAGCACTTTGGGAAGAGATATTGGATCTAAGTTTAATTCTTTGCCTAGGGATGTGAGGGGAACTGGACAGAGGTGAGTGATAATTCCTTTCGCCTCAATACGCTGGGTTGCAGTACATAAAAAATATTGATCTTTTCAATAGGTTGGGCCTCAGTAGACGTGCAGGAAGTGTCCTACAAGATGAGCCGGAGCCTTTGTCTTCTCGTTTGGATCTTCGTTCTTCCAGAGGTTAGTCACTACAAAATTCAGAGCTCTAATGCGTAGTCTGATATTACATATTTTTCTAACAGATCGCTTTTTAATCAGGTCGTTTACCGTCCTCTCCTTCAGTATTTACTTCAGATGAATATAGAGCGTGGCTGTCTCGTGCTCCGTCAACCAGTGCACTTTATGAGACGCTTCGTCCCAGACTTCCAACACATTACTCTGCAGAAAATATACATGATGCACTGAAAAATGTAAGTACTCAATAATTTACGAACTAGCGATGTAGTAAATAATTAAATTTCTCTAATAAAATATATGTGTATTTATAGTTGGAAAGCGGTAGCCGTTTCGGATCATCACTTGGACTGGCAGGCCGTCGGGTTGAACGACCGAGGCATTTGCCATCTCGTTCATTATCATCTCAGCAATTAAGTGCTACACAACAACTTGGTTCCGGTGCTGGAGGTTCACCGTCAGCTAGACGAGTCCGACAATTGCTAGAACTTGGATCAAGGTTTAACTGTCCTAATCCAAGCCCAGTACCAACACCTGGTTCGCGGCATCAGCGCCACATTGAAATTAATCCTAGTGGTAAGTGAAACAAGGCATAATTCATGTCGTCATCGCAAAGTCATTAGACTTACACCAATTACATATAAAGATCATTATTAGTAGCCAGCGCAAGTATTATTATTATCTATCTTTCTATTATTTAACTCTATTGCAGAACTTTAAAGTCCGACAGTAGCCCACGTTCTGTCTTTACACTTGTATTAATATTATATTATCTTAGACTTTTTATATCCTAAATATACATTTTACATAGTCTCGTTACATTTTATTTCAGAGTTCCTAAAATATAAAGTGGAAAAACCAACGACTGGCGGTCTTTCTGCATCAATGACTGGCCTATCGCGATTATCTGGCGGTGTGTCGGGCATGTTGTGGGTACACCTATTAGCAGGACGAGGTTTGCGCCCGTCAGCATCGGGAGCATCACCGGGCTCTCCACCATCTGGGCCATTAGCTCCAGCACAGCCACCCGTTGTACCTAGGGATTTGTATTGCGTGCTTGAGTGTGATCGCGTTCATAAAGCTCGGACTGTTGTAAGTAATTTATGATACTTTAATAAGTTCATACTATGTGTAAATTATTATTATTTAAGTATTGCTTAGCTGATAATATCAATTTGTACATTTTAGTTTCTTCTGCTTATAATCTACCTACTTACTTTCTATTTTCTCTACATCAAAATAAGGTTGGCCTTCAGAAAATTCTTAAGACATTCAATACGCCTCTGCACTGCAAAATAAAAAAAATAAAACTAAATAGTTGATTTTGTACTAAGGCAGCAATAGAACTTTCGTAAATGAACTTGAAATTTATTCATTCAATTCAATTAATAAAGTTATAAGTATAAGATTGTATAGATATATTTTGGCTTTTAGGTTCGCACTGGTGAACTTCAGTTTGACTGGGATGAATCTTTTGAACTGGATCTCGTCGATAACAGACAGTTGGATGTATTGGTTTACTCGTGGGACCCTCAGCATAGGCATAAATTGTGTTACCGTGGCGCCGTTACTCTACCAGATCTACTCACGAGATCACCTGCTCATCAACTTGCAATTAAGGTAAAATTTGTTTCGAAAATACAACTAATATAATTTTAGGGAAACCATGAATTAAAAGGAACATTGACGAGGGCAAATATATTCATCAGTTAATATAAATAGCCTCTTACAAAACCATGTTAAGTGAAAACTAGTTTCTATTTAATGCACAAAAACCAAATTGTGTATGTTATTTTGATTGTGATGTTTCTGGATCAATGTTAAATTTCAACCAAATATAGTTAACTAAACTTGTTGTTTCATAATCTAAGTTTTAGCTATTATACATTTTTTGTCTACTTTTACAATTTAATAGGTTCCTCTCTTCTATCGAAGCAAGTATGGCCTCCGAATTCAGTCACTTGTAATTGTTGTAACTGATTTTTAGATGGAACCTCGTGGGACTCTGTACGTGCGCGTCCGGCACACGGAACCTCACGACTTGTTCCGAAGACGTCCCGCAGCTGTACGTGGTGCACCACTCTTCGGTGCTGAACTAGAAGCAGTGGTGTCAAGAGAACCACGACCACAGCACGCGCCACCAGTTCCACTCATAGTGAGGCGTTGTGTAGAAGAAATTGAGAGGCGTGGTTTAGATATTATTGGTATGTTTTAGAGTGGCGTTCCCTAAGGGAAACCCTTATTGTATTTTTTATTTGTTTTTTATTTTTTTTATGAAACAATTATGAGATGAAATAAATGCGGTACTAAAGGCAAGAACTACTACTAAATCAACTAATCACTACTTAATCAATATGTTATGTTTATTATTACTTTCATTATTATGAATTATACTAGCAATATACACGTTACTAACTATAGTATGTACAAATAGGCATCACACGAATGGTCAATTAAATAATAACCAAACTTTTCACAAAGTTTAAGTCGTTCTAAAAACTTTGATACTTTTTAAATTAAACTAAAGTAATTTAGTTTAGACCAAATAACAAAAAAATAAATCCAATTAAAAAAACTGTTGAACCTACTTCAAAGAATATTGACAAAGAGCACTAAAAATTTTAAAATAATTACAAATCTAAGCAATCCTTCTAGTTTGTTTGAAGTCGGTGTCTATTGGTCGGATTATTGCTATTATAATGTTACCTAACTGTTATATTGAGGGTACTTATTGTAGTTTTTTTACTTAGAGCTGTAATTATTTTAAAATTTTTAGTGCTCTTTGTCAGTATTCTTTGAAGTCGGTTCAACTTTTTTTAAAGGTTTTTTTCACCATTTTTAGTGTAAGACATTTTTGTAATGAGTATTTAATTACGATATTTAAAACACTACGTACCGTAATGTTTAGTATCAAACTGTAGTTTGTTAGATTACATTAAAAATAGTTTAATAAGTTCGTTACTTTATTTAGATAAGGTAGTAAGATGTTACATTTGAACCCCTAAAACATATTGTTTTCCACATTACTTAATTTTCCAAAACTAGGAGTGGTATTTTTTCTTTACATTTGAATGGAACTAAAGGGGAAAAATACCCTTTTTAATAAAAAAATATTTTATATAATCGGTTTACAAATGAAAGAGTTTTGAGGTAACAATCGTGAAATAATTGCGTAACAAACTTTTTTTACCTATATATATAGAGAAACAAGCTAAAACGCGTTGTTGGGCCTGTAAAATTTGAGAGTTTCCCTCGATTTCTCTAGGATCCCATCATCAAATCCTCATTTGGTGGTGGTGTTACCTCAAAACTCTTTCATTTGTAAACCGATTTGGAAAATTCTCTTTTTATTTTACAATTATTTTTGTAATCGTAAGGATACTCCCGAGGTGGCCGCCTTGCGAGCGGCCACCTCGGGAGTATACCCTTACGGTTTACAAATGAAATAGTTTTGAGGTAACAAATATGAAAATAATTGCGTAACATTTTTTTTTATCTAAATGTTTTGTAATCTCATTTATTACTCTCTTGTACACATATCTCTGTAACACTACACAAACACCTAACAAATATGTTGAAAGAATAAATCAAGGTCAAAACATGATTCGATTTTTGAAAGAGTTATTTTCTAGCTCCTAAAGTTCAAGAATCCTTCCATCATCAGCTCAGCAATATGACATAGCAACTACAAAACGCAAATACACATAAAGCTAGAGAAATAAGCTAAAACACGTTGTTGGGGCTGTAAAATTTGAGGGTTTCCCTCGATTTCTCTAGAATCTCATCATCAGATCTGATTTGATTTGGTAGTAATGGGACCACTTCGGGAGCATACCCTTTCGATTCCAAAAATAATTTGGAAAATCGGTTTACAATTGACGGAGATATCGCGTAACAAACATACAAAAAAAACAGACGAATTGATAACCTCTTCTTAAGTGATTTTGAAGTCGGTTAATGAAACTACTTTTTTGTTAACAAAAATTTTTTTTGTTTAAAAATACTAATATAACGTAATCGTGCCCTCGAGAACCCTTAAATCTGTTCAAGTACTTTGATATTGCATTGCAAAATGAATATTAAATCGTCACATTCCATTACTGAAAGTAGACATTTCTAAATGTGTCTTTGTACCACAGGTCTTTACCGTTTATGTGGCTCGGCAAGCAAAAAGCGCATATTGCGGGAAGCATTTGAAAGAAACGCACGTGGAGTGGAATTGGCACCGGACTCGGTTCCTGACATCAACGTCATCACTGGTCTGTTGAAGGACTACCTGCGGGAGTTACCACAACCCTTGTTTAGTCGCTGCTTATATCAGATGACGCTGGATGCTCTAGGTTCGTATTACTACGAGTAAATAGCAAAGTTAGGTACATAAACTATATCATTAGTTCTGTAGAATGCCTTCCTTATGTTGAAGCAGTCGTCGTAAGAACACATCACACATTTATTAATTATTTCGATAAGGTTGAAGCATTTTCTCGGTTTTAGATTTGTGTTATCTTTTTACAGATGATCAGAGATTATATTGTACTTACACTTTTTGAAAGTTATGTTTACCCGTCATTTACTTTCTCGAACCATTGGAGTGTACCTTTTACAATTTGAAATAGTTTCAAACCTCCATACTATCAGCGATCGTACCAATGTCTTAAGTTAATATAAAATGTAAACAATATTACTAACAATACCAAACTCACATATATATAACGGGATTCAGGCATATTTGAAAATTACAAAAAACTCGTTGAGAACTGTTAGAAAACTAAGGGTTGGGACTAATCCCACCCACACGCCCACCACTGTAACTCCTGTACACCAGGATCCACAGCAGTGACCCACGAACACACCGAGTTATGACACTCGGGAAGTCCCAGGAAGAAATTAAACTGTCTTGGAACCCGCAACGAAATTAATCAGAAGAAAATTGGAGGAGTTGGAAATACAGTAAATCCACTTCCCTCCTTAGCAAAGCGGGAGACAAAATGAAGTAAAATGGGCATACACCCTTTTAAACAGGGAAGCACCACGGCCACAAATATTACGGGTCCTACGTGAGCTATGTTTGATTTCTATAATATGTATGGCAGAATCGCCTAAACGCACGGAAATTCACCCTAGTTGACACAAGATCCCCATAGTATACCGCCCCAGATGTCACCTGCAAGCTATTCAGCATTTTATTACGTTCATTATACCAAAGACTACATTCCCAGAGGATATGATGAGCAGACTGTTCATAGTGAGAGTTAGGTGTTGAGCATTGACACAATGGTGACTCGACTAATTTAAATGAATAAAGCTTGCTCTTAAAGTTACCATGACCCGTAAGAAATTGAGCGACACAGTGATCCACCTCAAGCCAACTAAGGGTACCTTTTTCTAGCCACTAATGTGTAAAATAGCTTGTAAATATTACAAGTTTAACTGATTAATTAAATTTATTTCAGGAGTATGTCTCCCAGACGACAGAGAAGGCAACGCTCGGCTGATGGCATCAATAGTTGAGTGCCTGCCTCGAGCCGCAAGAGCTACTCTGGTCTTCTTACTCGATCATTTGGCTCTCGTTGTGGCTGCCCAAGATCGCAACAAGATGTCTCCTCAACATCTAGCAGTGGCGCTAGCACCTCCTCTTATGCTGCAGTCACAACCACCTACGGAATTGGACTACCAGAGGCCCATACACGTCCTGCAGTGCCTGCTGCAGATCTGGCCACCGCCTAAACGTTCAGGTAATGTCACCTCCCATTTCGTTTTAAGGTCGCTATTACATGCCTCCTAAGTTCAATAAAAGATAAGTTAGTAACAAAAAAAGTTAAGTGGAAATAAAATTATAATTACAAAAATTATTAATTTTAGATAAAAATAAATAGAGGAGATTAGAGCAAAATTGTTTTAAAATAGAACTTGTACGTTGAAGTTAATAAATGGCTGCTGCTTAAATGATGCATAAAATATACTATTACGTTATTAATTTCACCACTAGATCGTAGTGTCACATAGTATTCACATTAACAAATCCTGAGTACACAAATTAAACAACACGCTGATACTCTGCACGAAGCTACTTTTCCCGATTCTAATCGCTATAAAAATCAGTTCTAATATTCTTTGCATAAATCTTTATATTTCTTAGTAATCCTTTTTCCTATAAACACTAGACAATTACACTGGATGTCTAAAAGGCTAAGCGGTACCTTAACGCATGTATGTTTGTAGACAGTTCGGCGCGGCGAGCCAGCAACCGGGCCGCGTGGAAACAGAGTCAGTGCGTCGCCAGCGGTCTCACTCATACTCCCCCAAGGTGCTCACTATCTCTTCACTACCTGTAACATAATCAGTTGACAACATTCTTATAATTGAAAAAGGGTTCATTCTTACTGAAATACGTCTTAAGGGAAATCTATACATCTGTTAATCTAAAAAAGTATAAAAGTATTCCATCAGGCAATCTAGCTTTCATAGTACATGCTCTGCTTAGTTTGAAACTAGATGGCATTGTGGCATCAGATGGACGAAAATATTTTTATTTTCATGTATTAATACGGGAAGAAAATCCCTTTTTAACAGATATATCCAACGAAAGCAAATAATATTATTATTTAATATGTGTAGTATGTGCTATATAGCTAAAAATATGTAATGTCGGTTTCATACAACTATTGTCTTCCAGTATACCTATATATGTATATTTTGACCTGTTAAGGTATAAAAGCTTCTGGTAAATAATATAAAATAGGACATTTAAAGTCTCTTCTATTCTAAGTTCAACCGGCAGACGATTTCTCTTATAAACAATAATTATTTGATACATTATATGATTTTATACTAGCTGATGACTGTGACTTCGTTCGCGTAGAATTTGAAAAGCGCTGTCTTAGTGGGGTCGATTCCCGGGTCGGCTAAAATTTTATAAGGTTTTTCAGAGAAAAAAGTACCTACTCCTTATATAGGCTACCTGGTAGTAAAAATCAGTCCAGCCGATTCGAAGATTACCCGGAACTAAAAGACTTTTAGGCATAAACATTAGACAGGTTTTTAGGCATAGGTATCGTGCAAACAACCGTGTAAGCATCAAAAAACAGACACTTCAATTTTATTTATTTGTATAGACAAATAATTGATCTCAAATAATTTGATGCATGCATCAAATAATTTTTGTATAAAAAGTAACTAAATTTAAATTAAATTAAGTAATTTTAATAAAATTAATTTTAGTTAATTAATTAATTTAAAAAATAATTACTTAATTTTTAATTAAAATAGTTTAGCAATATAATGTAATGGAATATGATCAAAAACTTTAAAAGTTAAATTTCAATTATTGTATGTGTATTATTTGATATCTCACATAATTGATTTATTGTATCAAATAATTTTGTTCATACTAGATATCGTCTAACGGTTGCACTTAGAATAGAAAAGAATTCAATGTCTTATTTTTTATTATTTACCAGCAGCACTTGAACTGCCAGCAGCACTTGAACTTTTTCTTTTATACCATTACAGGTCAAAATATATAAAGGTAAACTGGAAGTCAATAATTATATAAAACCGATATTGTATGTAGAATAAAGAAATTTTATATCTCACGAAAATATAATTTCAAACATAATATTTTAAAAAAGATAATCTTTCTTTTTCATTGCCAATACATTTCCAGAAATATTATCGTAACTTGTCAGGGCAGTATTATGTACGTATTCCAACAAAGGCCAATATATAGCTGTAAAATGTTAATTTTAGGCCGAGCTCTGCCCTCAGTCAGTCCATATCGGCCTCCAGCGGCAGCATCAGCAGCATCTCCGCCGCCAGCTCTCTCGGGTCGGCCCGTGCCCGACCGCTCGCCGCCCGCACATGTAAGCATGCAATTTTATTTGCAAATATTTTACAAGAAAAAATTATAATGTGTAATAGATAGATAGATGTAATAGATGTAATAGATGTGTGTATACAGGTAGAGATAATCGCAGTGATGTATTACCACTTAGTTGAACACATATTTCAATCGGTGGGCCAGAGAGAAATAGAACAATCAATGATCTTATTAATCAATATTAGACGAAATTACTTCTAATTGCTTCTTCAATGAAATTGCGTAAAATTTACAAGTCATGTTTACATCCCATGTGTTTTCTTGTAGGTTCTCTCATCAGTCAGGGCCGGCCAATATCGTCCGCAGTCGCCTCTTCGAGGCCCACTACCCGCTCCTCCTCGATCCCGTCAGGTGACGGTGTCGTCGCCCGGCTCGCCCAGCAGTAGTTCGGGTAGTCACAGCCCTGCGGACACGATTAAGCACGGAGGATCCGTGTCTTCTATTCTGCGGCAGCCTGAGCGAGCTGTATCGCCAAGGTCGTCACCAAGGGCTTCGCCGCGTGCGTCCCCGCGGGCTTCTCCTAGAGATTCGCCGCGTACCAGTACACCACGTGAACGTGATTACGCGTCCCGCGAATCGTCCCGCGAGCACACACCGCGCGATTCCACTCCGCGTGAATCTGGCTCTCGCGAGTCTCCGCGCTCCGTAATCCCCGGCACGTCAGCAGGACTCGCTGTTACGCTCAACTCCGCAGTGGGAAGCGTCGGTGGCGGCGGCCTGAGCCCCCGCTATAACTCTACCAACCCATTCCTGCAGCAGTACGATGCCGAGGAGGAGGCAGAGGCGTGGCATACCGCAGACATATTTTCCTCGCCCTCCACGCACGCATAGTGCTCGTAGCGAATTGAGATTTTCTAGTCAATTTTTTTAATCGAATCGAAAGTGTGCTACGATTCCGCTGTATATTATGTTGTTTATTCGACGAGCGTGGTGCGCGTTCGTGTAATGTTTGTTATATATAGAGCGAGTTACGATGTATATTACTGTGAGAATGTATACATGCTGACGCGCGAGGCGCTACGCCTCGCCGACCGCCGGCGTCCCGCCCCGTAGTCAATATAGTGTTTATCGTATTGTATTGTACATTGTATATAATAAACGTATATGTAGGTACGCTCCAATTTTGTACCGTTCGGGTGAGACTGCGGCGGGCGGCCCGCGGCGCTACACACATCATCCCACATATCAGAGACTTGTGTACGCAACTGATACGCAATAGTAGCATTGTCCATAACTATTACACAATCTTACAGCAACAATTAATTGAAAATATCTTTTTAGAGCTGGTTTCACGGTACATAATATATAATTATCAGGTAACACGTGTTAAGTATCGATGACGCACACAAGTCAGTAGCTCGAGTAGGGAGAGTGTATCATAGATCAGACGTACGGACTGTCTTGAGACTGAGGCCATATCAGAGTAGCTCGTAGAACTCGAAGGACATCCGTCGTAGAACGAGCGATTATTGTCACATCGGAAAAATCTAGAAAAGAAAAACCTGTTGTGAATGTTAAACATAACTATTCAAATAATACACGTTCTTTAATGAAGTAATAAATATATAAACATATTAATTAAAGAGTATTAGTAAAGCATTTTTACGAGTCGCTAATTCTATGAAGGATTGGCATTTAAACCGTTTGGATCGGTCGCATTCTCAAGATCAGAGGTGCTGTATTCGAAATTTGAATTGCGAAGCCTATCTGTTAACAATCGAAATTCGAAAATAATACCTCAGTTCTTTTTATAGCGTCTGCTAGACATATAAGAGTGGGTGAAATCGACCAATGACAGCACTGATCCTATTTTCACTGCCATGATTGGTCCATTTAATAGGAAGCATATTTATTATACACTTGTTTATATGTCTGTCGGAGGCTACACGGTTACTTTTACTTTTGAGCGACACTTCAAGACGGAATTTTGTTATCGAGTATTAACTGTTTATAAAAATAGCATTGCACAAATAACACGACTGATATGGGACACAAAATGTTTTTGATACTTTTTACTTTTTGTACCTGTTCCTCGTTTGTAATAATGATACTAGGGCTTCGTTGAAAAAACCTCGCCTTGCTGTACCTCTTTATAATAAAATAATATTCATACTCGTACACGAACTTCAATAACACTTCTAATACGTTCATCTTTCGCTGGGGCCTCTATCACATGTAATCTTACATTAACTGTAGAGGAATTCGTGTACGAATAAAGACCACATCTTGTATGAAGGCTGAGAATCGATGACAATATGTAGCGATAATTTAAATAGATCGTACGGTTGTAAGTATCGAACGATTGCCTTCATGAAGATCTTGGATCGGTCCCAACTGCCGGACACTCAATGTTTTAGGTATTAACTACGTGTAAATCAATAATTTATATTGCAAATTATATAAGTATTAGGGATAGGTGGGTATTGATCACAAGTTTAGTAATCGTTGGAATGATCGCCGAGATCATATTGATCAGTTGGAAAGTTTAGTCTAGTAAATTATAAGTTCAATGTTCAGTGGAATGTTGTATGAATTATCTGATTATTTTGTCCTTTTGAAGGGCAAATCTATGTTGTGAATATTGTCCGTCAGTGGGGACTGTTACGTTTAGTTCATCCACTGCGCCTTACTCGTTCTAGTAAAATTATGAGCTTATCTAAAATTTATTTAAAGTATACACACATTGTAATCATAATACATTGTAATCGAAAAGTATGGGTATTATACCTATTATTTAATACTATAGGGTTTGATAAGATTCATCATAAAATTAATGTTCATGTTTGTTTGTGACTAAGGCGTAGTGTTTGAATGAGTAAAGCTGTATGTGTGCGTATATAATATGCATTTCGTCTTTCATGTTACTTTTTGTCACTGATGAAAAGTATATATAAAGAAAAATCTGTCCGTGTATCACACTCAGAGATAGAAACGTTAAAGTATAGACATGTGTATAAAAGTTACGAAGATTACGTATGCGAATAAACCACGTGTTTAATATGATTAGAAAAAATATCTGTCACTAATATTTATGATAAAATACCTACATACTTAAAAGCAAATTATTACTATCTCGTACGCTTATCGTAGATACGTGTTTTAGTTAAAGTATTGACAAACAAAAATATCCACAATACCTATTTTCAATATAAATAGGTGTCTATTACAGGACATTTTGAATATTAACTCCTTTATAAAGTAGTTAATACAAATAAACTATCTACATAATATTTGTTGAAGCACATGTATATTATAGTTCTTTCTTACAGTTGTAAGATTTAAAAAATATAACAGTATTCTGTACTGATTTTATGATTTTGGAAAGTTTTAAAAGCGCTAAAGACTTTCCACTTGCAGCGTGACGCTTGGTGAAAGTCCCATAATTGCATTATACTTATTCGTAAAGTCTCATTGCAGCAGTTTTATTTAAAGTTAACTTCGTAGCATACAGCCTGTTTGAAACTATTTATAAGCTTTTATTTTAGGATTATAATGATGACATAAAATATTATTTTATAAAATAACGGTTATTCAAAAGTAGCCATTTTTGCAAAGAATATTCAGATTTGACATGGTTGGTGTAAATAAATAAAAATCTCACATTATACTGTAATAACTTGTTGAAAGTCTCATGATTGCATGAAAGACCCATTAAGTCTCACTATAGCGACAGTTTTATCGTATGTAACCACGTAGGTTGTAGCAGCAACTTAAAAAGTGACACGTAGCTTGGTAATACGAAATGTATATAATATGTGCACGTTCTAAATGTTGTGAGTGACTTGAAGTGTCGCTCGACAGTCCGGTAGCAGTCGTAGTGTGTAGTGACAACGGCGCACGGCTTCAGTTGGCTTCTTCGGGGCAATAATTCTGAGAGATTACACTTGGGTTACATTGTAATACGGTTATTAAATGTCTTTGTAATTTTAGCACTTGTTAGAATCCATCTATATAAAAAAATAATTTATTAAAATAAAACTTATTATACACAACTTAGATATTTTACCTATTCATTGTCTATTCGGTCTACCCGCCCATGAGTGTATTATAGCATATTATAGTATAATATATATTATAAAGATTTTAATAGATATATTCCAAATTGAAAATAAAAAAAACAATTAAATAAATAGATCATGCAAATATTTTAAAGTTATTCATCGATTATTTAAAATATTTTATTGATTTTATAGTAATAAATAAATAATTTAATTATTTCAATTCAGAAAAGTAAGTACCTATGATTTGGCCTACGTACAAACTCTATACGACTACATATAGCAAAGTTAAGAATACCCTGTTTTTTCTATATCTATTCTAAAAGAAACATGTCTATTGTTAGATTTTATAATGTTACAGAATATGTATAAATAACCTGGTGTTTCTCTCTCAAAGTTGGTGCCGCTATAAGTTTGCGTTGCGGGACCGTGGGTCCCTCTGATAATATCAGTATTTCGACAATTTGGTAAAAGTAGCGTTACATACGTGTACTTAAAGTAAAATTGACGCCGCTCGTATCTGTACCGGGCGGCTGAAACACACACGAAAATAAATAATACGACGTTACTATGGTTTTATTTATTGACCACTTATACCTTCAAAAACTCAAAATATTCTATACCGACTGAGTGTAAATTTTCACACGTTATACAACACGTTTCAAAGATGGTTGTTATCTTATTTTAGTAACCACGGTGTACCACAGCGAAGCGTGAAAGGGTGCAGCTAGAGTACAGTAATATACAAGAATCAATCAATATCAATGTAATAAAAAACAAATTTATATAATCTCCTAATTACATGTAATTGACTCCAAAGATATTAGAAAGCTCGATTTATCTGCATAATATCTTTGCACATGTAAACCGATTTTAACAAGATTTTTCATATTGAAATAATAAAAAATAATCCAAGGGTTGATAATTAAGGAGGGCAGGGACCTTAATTGAGTTACAATTCATCATGATTTAATTCACATTGAAGTTTTATTTAAAGTAACGTATTATGGTTAGCGTTTACCATGACCTTCATTTAAGTTTCAATTATCAAGATAAAGATTGAACGCGTTTCGTATACAGTTAAATGAAGTAAAAAGATTGGACAGCGTAAAAGAGATTTGTTAGATTGACACGTGTCTCTCTCGTGACTGAAAATAAACTATGTATGTTTTTTTTTGAGGGGATGAAAGAGATCTAAAAATTATAGTAAGTAGTAGTAAATAAAACAACAGGTCGTCCCTTATCAGGGCCATTCCATCTATCTAGTTCTTATACTTTCAGTGACTACGTGTGTTAACTACAACCTAATTTGCTACCACTGTTTTCATGGATGGTTTCGGAGGTTTAGATAATGAATTCATTTGTCCAGCCTTCATACCGATTTTGAAATTGATGTGGTTTATTAATTAACTTGTGAAAATATATTACTGCTTTTAATGCACCAGCATCTTGCACGGATTCTTCATTCCTTGAATTTAATAATATAAATAATATTTCATTTAAATGGGGTTAAATGGAAATATCGCACTGTCCATGTGGTAACTAATTAAGAATACGTTTACCTCTATTTATCCTGTGGGGGTCGTAAGAGTTGACTAATGAAACAAACTACGTGGGATAACAGCACTGCAAAGAGAAGGAAAACTGGAAACAAACCCTATACCAAACCGTCTGGTCAGCGTAGTATAGTAGACGAAAACCTTCTTCTTCTTTTTCTTTCTATGAGAAGTCTATGTCCAGAAGTGGAGTGCTACAGGCTGTTTATGAAACGGAAATATACAATTCAAAGTATTATGTTTTTTTTTTCAAATCGGTTCATAAATGATGGAGCTC